AGCAGTTTAACCATACGTTGTAGCTACTGTTTTAACAGATTTACAAATGGCTAGGGTGGGTCTGGCTCAGTCCCAAGAAACCAGTTGGACTCATGTGTACTAAATTTAAGATCCACTGCTAGGAAGAAAACTTCCCTTAGATATCATCAGGCTTTGTTATTTGCAGGGTGTCAGTTAAGGTGACTAGAATGGAAGATGGAGAACGCAAAGCACAGGAAGGTAGGACCAAAATTTTACTTATGCTGAGGTATGTGCCTGAATTTGTGGAAATCTGTTTTCTTGTGTTGGAGCATTTGTGTGTTCAGCTTATTTTGAACTAATAAAGAATTGAACTTCAGTTATCCTGTTTTGCTCTGGGCAATTATTAAGAGTGATGGCATTTATCAACCCATCTTGTTTAATTTATGGCAAACATTCAGTAAGTCTTGATAGCATTTATCATTTCCTGACATTATATTTTATATATGTATATATAACTATGTTTATTTACTTATGCCCACCCAAAGGTGAGCTCCAGAAAGGGACTCTTTTCCATTCTGTTCACAGCTGTATCTTCAGCCAAGAACAGTGCTTGGCACATGGTGGGTGTTCATTAAATACTTACTGAATGGCAGGACCTGATACTATATGGAGTCAATGTTGAATAGTAACTTATAGCAGGGGTTGGCATACCAAGCCCTGAAGCAGATCCAGCTTGCCACCTGTTTTTGTAAATAAAGTTGTATTGGAATATAGTCACACTCATTCGTTTAATTATATGGCCCCTTTTGCACTGCATCTCAGGTTTGAGTGGTTTTGCCAGACTGTATGGCCCACGAAACCTAAAATCTCTCCTCTCTGGTTATGTATGGCCCTGACTTAAAGCATGGGCCTTAGGATCTGGCAGTCCTGGTTTTCTTCTCTGGCCACTTTGTTGTGAGCAAGCGATTTAAGCTAAAAGGTTGGTTGCCTTGTCAGGAAAGTGATAATGATTCCTATCTCAACCAATGGTTGTTAACGTTCAGTGAGAGGAGCATCAGATAAAAACACTCAGGGACCATTAGCCACTACTAGGGAGCCTTGTGTGACGGGCATGTCATCCATTGTCTGCACCTTTATTTGCTAGGCACTTTGCCAAGTACTGGCCAAATGCAAGTGCCTGAGGCCTGGCCCTTCTGTCACGTGACTGAAAAGCACCTGTAGTTTCCCTCCACTCTCTTCCCCGATGTCATGGCCATCCAGTCGCTCCTGCTGTGCATACACTAATTTAAAAACATGCAATTTTTAGAAATACTGGTTGTCTTTTTATCACAGAAGTTTTAGGAAAACTGCATCTTCAGGGGCGCCTGGGGGTGGTTCAGTTGGTTAAGCACCTGACTCTTGATTTCGCCTCAGGTCATGATCTCAGGGTCTTGAGATGGAGCCTTTCGTCCGGCTCCTTGCTGGGCATAGAGCCTGCTTAAGATTCTCTCTCTCCCTCCACCTCTCTCCACCTCCCACAGCTAGCACTCTCTCTTTCTTCTCCCCTCTACAAACAGAACAAAACAAAACTGCATCTTCAGAAGTCACGGTATGATTTAACTTTTATTAAGTTCTTCATCTAAATTAAAGAGAGAAAAAAAACCATATGCCAGTTTCTACGTATGGATATACTTTCATGAATACATTCCTTGAAAGGGGCCTAAAACAGGGAAAGCAGTAAAAATACCATGTATAAGTGTGGATCTGCTGTAAACAATGAAAAATTACATCTGTTTATTTATCAAGAAGTAATAAATTCTGGTTGAATATTTGGAAAATACAAAGGAGTATATTGAAAATGGCTAAAACTGTAGAGGTTCCCTTTACCCAGAGAGAAATTTGACTTCAGTGTATTTTTCTTCCATTTAAAGCATGGAGATGTAAAAATAATTTTCTCCAGCCAGCTTTTTAACTTAATATTATAAATGTTGTTCCACAATATAAAAACATTTTAAACTTAACTTTTGATTTTTTTTAACCAACTTTATATTTTGAGAAATAACCTTTCAGAAAAGTGCAAGAATAGTGCAGTGAACACCTGTTTACCCTTAGCTGGAATCACCACTTGTTTTTATTTTGTTATATTGGTTTTCTCTGTCCCTGCAATTACATTCTGATGAGTCCTAAACATGATTCTTAATGCCCACACATACTCATTTTTGTGCATATATCATAATTGTCCATTTCTTTTGTGGATATTTAGTTACTTTTACCTCCCCCCCAATTTTTAAATTTTGTTCACTGAGCATCCATGTTGTGAGCACTATCCATGGAGGATCTCATTTTTAAAACTGTAATCGTGTGGGGTACATGTTACAGAAGAAAGGATTAAAGCTTAGAGAATTTAAGGACTTTGTCAAAGGTCAAATAGCTGAGACTTGGTGGAAGGAGATTTTCATGCAGGTGTCTTAGACGCGAAGCTCTGTGTTCTTAGTCATTTCGTAGGACCTACGCCCATCTGCTCTCTCAGATGATAACTCCTCTGACAACCTGCCTGAATTTCATTGCTCTCCCCTTCCTCTGCTCTTAGCACCCCATCTCTGGAGATGGCTCAGGAGGTAGAACTTCTTTGCCTGTCTTCCCACCTCAGTAGACTGTGAGAACCTTTGGGCTGATGTCTGTGTGTTAGTCAACTATTATTCCCAGTTTCCGGCCATGGCAGCAGCTCCTAAGTATTTTTTGCATAAGGAAGTGGTTGAAAGTGTCTTAATGCATATTACTAAATTTCTCTTCATAATTCCTGTACTAATTCAATTTTATTGGCAAGATTTCTGGTACTGAACGCGCCGCATACCCAGCAGCATAGAGAGCTTGAGCTTCAAGAGGCTGAACTTGTTTGACTTTTTTTTTTTTATACCCACACTACTCTTACACGTTTCTGTATGAGAAAGATGTAGGTATACTCCGGTTCTCCAATTTATTCAATGAATACTTTATTTTTTACAAAGGCTATCACTTGTTTTCATAGTAAAATACATATTCAGTGAAGACAATTTGTGAAATTGAGAAGCAGAAAAAGAAAGAGCAACGAGTTTTAAAAAATCCCACCATTCTGTAACTTTTTTTTTGCATTCTGTCACTTTTTTTTTTACATTCTGTCACTTTTTTAATTAAAAAAATTTCTAATGCTTTCCTAGGTTTAAAAATAAATCATATGCTGTATCTTTCATAAAATATTTATTATATTTTTTCTATATATTAACCTTTGAAAACCAGATTCAAAGACTAAATATTACATCTCAAGGGAAAAAACATCTATCATGCAATCAGTATTCTCTGATCATTAATGCAGCCATAGCGAACACTTTGGGACATGAATCTTTGTGGGCAACCCAAGTTACTTGTTTTCTTTTTTTTTTTTAAATGAAAATATCTCAACCTACAGAAAAGTTCAGATATTAGTATAACAAACACCCAAAGATCTATTCAGGGATTTCTAGCTTCACTTATAGGGTAGGGATTCCTTCTACATGTAAAGTGACTAGCAAGAGATAAGTCTTTACAATCTGAGATGTTTCTATCTTGGTGTCCCCTAGTTTATGTCAAATGGGTGTTTGATTTGCCACTTTGTGTAAATGTGGCTCAAGCTGTCTCAGGTCTATTGTATTTATCCAGTCCTTTCCTTTGATTCCTTTGGGGACACTTATTTCAAACAATTTCCCTTGACTGATGCTTCAAGACCTGTCACAGCTGCAGACACAGCTGTGGGTTTTAGTTTTAACTAGAAACTCATCATCCACACTTCCTTGCACACAGCTGGGTGTGTTCTTGCTTCCTGGTCGGTAACACTATTCTACAACCATTTATTTGCATATATATCATGATGAATACAAACTGAGTGAGATCGTTATGAATTATAGGATGCAGTTTTTACTGTCTCATGCTATTTTGAGGGTTATATATTGCTTTTATTGTCACTAATTTCAACAAGGGAAGAAGTATAAATCATAATGGTAGACAATTGCTAGTTTTTTCTTAGGATCCACTGCTTTTTTGATCCGTAAATTAGATCCTCTGCTCTGTAGTTTGTTTTCCAATACTGACCTTGTTTATTGTACTGACTACTTGAATTTCTGTGTGAAATATTCTAGAAGGAAATGAAGAGTACATAAACATCCCTCCACATACCCTCCACACTGAAAAATTTCATCTCAGCCCCTTGCTAAAGACAATTGATTCCAAAGAATTCAAAGAAACCATGAACAGAATTAATGTACTTTCCCCTTTTTATTCAGTAGTGGAAAGATTGACTAAACCTGCCACACATTAGATTAGCTGATGAAGTATTTTGATATTTGTGCCCTATTGCATATAGCTATTGCTTTTGATTTAGTTTCTTGGGATTTTTAGCAACTACTTCTGAATATTTATTTATTTATATATGTTTTTTTACGTGTTTTCTACACTTAGTTCTACTGTACCCCAGATAAAGGCACAATTTTCCTCAAAACTCAAAAGCAGCTATAAGTGAATGAAAACTTAAAAATGTTGCCTTTAATCTTTTTTCCTTGAGTTATATGTGAAGAAATCTGTGGCTCAGGCTGTGCTCAGTACTTTGCATGTTTCAAATGCTTGTTCTAGATTGAGGGAGCAACCCACTTTGGCATTTACATCTTTCTTACCTTCCCTCTATGAGGGAGTCCCATGCGTTCCTGAGCTAAGAGGCTGTGGGTTGAGGAGGTCCTTCTATTATTGTCCACCCTGAGATCCCTGGAGGACTGGGGGCTACTGAGCACTTATCTCTTTTTACAGAAGTCCAGGGTGAAAGAAGGGTCTTATCTAGGGGCTGCATTTAGTAAATTATGATCAAACCCTGGTCTTCTGACCCTTACATTTAACACTTAGCATCAGTGGTCTCTTTTCTCTGAATATTGTTTTACCTTGTGCCACCGTCTCTCCCAAAGACAAGAGTAATGGAGCAGTGCTTTTGGAAATTCCATGCAAACAGGCTGTTGTACGAATGATACTGAAAATTTTATTTATTTATTTTTTCTTCCCAGGATTCATTCCTGTCTGTAGCCTTGGAGTGGCTCAAGTGGGCAGGATGAACTTTGGAAAGGATGTCAGCACCTTGAAATATTTCACCATTTGTGGCTTACAAGAGGGCTATGAGCCGTTTGCTGTTAACACAAACAGGGATATTACCATGTGGCTAAGCAAGAGGCTTCCTCAGTTTCTCCAGGTCCCATCAAATCATGAGCATATCGAGGTTTGCTTTTTCTTTAAAATTCAGACCATTGCCAAAAACGAGGGATGAATGTCTTTATGCATGGGAATTCCCCCCTGGACAATTATTGCCACTTACTTAAAAAGGTGGCCCTAAAGTGCTACATAGTAGTGAAATCTGAGCACAGCGTTAGATTCTGATGTTAAGTACTTTATGAGTACCTGATTAGACTGATTAACAATAATCAATTCTCTTTTTATATAGTCAACACCAGGCTCAATAGGAATAAATATAATTGTAACATGGATTTCCCAAACTGTCCTTGGAATCAGAAGCAGAGCTATGAGTCTGTAACACAGGACTCCCTGTGTTTAATCTTGTCATTTGCAAAATTATGCCACGCACGGGCCGTGTTCGGGGTTTGAAAGATGTGATGTCTGTTAGCGATCTTTAGAATCAGGAGGTCGACAGTGTTGATTCACATTTGAACTCTCTCTTCTTCATTTGCTAGGTGACCAGAATAGACGGCACCATAGACAGTTCTCCGTGTTTGAAGGTGACTCAGAAATCCTTCGGTTCTCAGAAGAGCAGCACCGATATCATGTTCTATCGTCTGAGCATGCCTATCGAGTGCGCAGAAGTCTTCTCCAAGACGGTGGCAGGAGGACTCCCAGGCGCCGGCCTCTTTGGGCCCAAGAATGATCTTGAGGACTATGATGCAGATTCTGACTTTGAGGTTCTAATGAAGACTGCTCATGGCCATCTGGTGCCAGATCGAGTTGACAAAGACAAGGAAGCCACAAAACCAGAATTTAATAACCACAAAGATTATGCTCAGGAAAAGCCCTCTCGTCTGAAACAAAGGTCATTGATCCATGCAACATGATTTTAAATGTGTAGTTATTATGTGGGGAGGGGTATACAGGAAAGAGCGAGGGATTTCCCAGTGTCAACTTCTTCCTCCTTCTCCTCTGCGTATAAAGGATTCAACAGGGGACAAGAAAACAACCTGTTTGCCATCTCGTTTGTTACCACAGACATAATCTATCCCAAGAGTTACTTATTTAAGGCACTTCTTTATTGTGGTAAGAAACGCATAACAAAATTTGCCATTTTAGCCGTTTTTTTTAAGCGTACAGTTGAGTAGTATGAAGTAGATTCACATTGTTGTGAGACAGGTCTCCAGAACTTTTTCATCTTGCAAAATTGAAATTCTGTACCCATTAAACAACTCTCCTTTCCATCTCCCCACCAGCCTGTGGTCATCACTGTTCTACTTTTTATTTCTACGAATCTGACCACTTTATGAAGTGGAATCATACTGTATTTTTTTTTTTTTTCTGTGTGCGATTGACTTAACTCACTTAGCGTAATGTCCTCGAAGTTCATCCACGTTGCTGCATGTGTCAGAACTTCCTTCCTTTATAAAGCTGAATATTATCCCATTGAGTACAGACACATTTTGTTTATCCATCCATTCTTTGATGGACTTTGGATTGATTCTACCTCTTGGCTATTGCAAATAGTGGTGATAAGAACATGCATGTATGAATATATTTTCAAGGCCCTACTTCAAATTATTCTGGATATACACCCAGAAGTGGAATTGCTGCTAGTTCTGTTTTTAAGTTTTTGAGGAACCTTCATACTATTTTCCATAGCAGTTGCACCATTTTATATTCCCACCAACAGTGCACAAGGGTTCCAATTTCTGCACATTCTTGGCAACCCCTGTTACTTTCCGATTTTTTGATTATGGCCATCCTAATGGCTGTGAAGTGACATCTCTGCTGTGGTTTTGATTTACATTTCCCTGATGATTAATGGTGTTAAGTATCTTTTCATATGCTTATAGGCCATTTGTGGATCATCTTTGGAGAAATGTCTTTTCAGGTTCTTTGCCCCCCCTTTTTTTATTGGGTTATTTGCTTCTTTGTTGTTGAGTTATAGGAGTTCTTTATATATTCTGGATATTAACCCCTTATCAGATATATAATTTACAAGTATTTTCTCCTAAGGGTTAGTTTTTTTTTTTATTTTTTTATTGTTATGTTAATCACCATACATCATTAGTTTTTGATGTAGTGTTCCATGATTCACTGTTTGCGCATAACACCCAGTGCTCCATGCAGAACGTGCCCTCCTAAGAGTTAGTTTTTAAGATGTTTATATTTATGTTCTTGGTTGAAACTTAGAGAGTATTCTAGAGGATTCTCTCTAAGTAGTATCTTTTTATCGACAAGAAGGCAAGTTATTTTAGCATCCTTTTTTGCACTAAATCCTAATTTCTCAACCTCGGCATGATCAATGCTCTGGGTCAGATAATTATTTGTTATGAGCGTCTGCCCTGTTAAGGATATTTAGTAGCATCCCTGGCCTCCACCCATTTAGATGTCAGTGGCCCACACCCCCGGCTGCATCAACCAGAAATGTTTCCAGATAGTACCAGATGTCCTCTGGGAAGCAAAATCACCCTTGTTTTGAACCACTCTACTAACATGATTATATGCTCATGTTCCAGTGAGGCAGAACATTTTAATGTTGCTTATTCTTAGTGCTGTAATATATTTCAGATTTTTGCTTAGAAGAACAAAGCCAGATTACAGCACGAGCCATTCTGCAAGACTCACTGAAGATGTCCTTGCAGATGATCGGGATGATTACGATTATTTGATGCAAACATCCACGGTATGAGGTTGCAGTTTTTGTCACTTACTCCTCTTTGTCACATATTATGTGTTGCATTTCAAAGAGTTCATTTTCATTCATGCTATTTAGTCAGCTTATTTTAAAATAATTATTTGCTTATATTTTGGGGGCCAAAATTTTGAAAAGCATAGGTATATTCTGATGTATATTATGTACTAAGAGAACTATTTTAGGCAAAATATCCTGATGGTGTGCTTAATCCTGATTTTGCTATCCTGTTTCTTGGAAAAATTTTGATTTCCATTTAATTTTTCCAAGTGCATATGATTTCCTTCATCTTAGTGATATGTCTAAAGGAAGATGATTTAAAATATTTTGTTGGAGGTCACGTTTTGCCATCCGCCACTTAGCGTTTTTAAAGCAACTTTTCCTAAAATGCCAAATAGAAAAAAATATATAGTTCTGCCCCTCATAGAGTGCCCCCATGTTTGAGCTAGATTTTCACTTATTACTTCTGAACTATTTCAAAGTGATTTTAAGGTGTCAAAATATTATGTTATTGGTAGAAAAGGTGAAGCATATTCAAAGAGGTGGGTGACAGGTATAAAAACTCAGCATTGATAAGTATGCTTCTGTAAACTTAAAGACTATGAAACTTACCTGCCTAAATGGATTATTTTTCTACATAAGTGTACTATATATGTACACATACATTTGTATGTATGCTGTGGATGTACATAAAACTTACATACTTACGAGTATAATAAAGCCTCACATCACTTAGAATGTTTGCTCTGATAAAATCTTTTCTCTTTTTCCCATTATTTGTGATTTAATTTCCCTTCGCTCTGTTTTCAGACCCACCTCACAGTGTCAGTTCTTTGTATCTGTAACATTTGAATTAGGCCAAATGATTTTAAACCAAGAAATACAGTCTTAGGCAGTTCAAAGACATTGCATATCAAAGTTTTGTTTCTTCTTACTTTGTCAACACTTGGTTTTACTGTCTTGACAGTACTATTACTCAGTGAGAATCTTTCCCGGCCAAGAACCTACTAATGTCTGGGTAGGCTGGATTACATCAGATTTCCATCAATATGATACAGGCTTTGACTTGGACAGAGTCCGTACAGTAACCGTTACTCTAGGAGACGAAAAGGGAAAAGTGCATGAAAGGTCGGTTTTTCTCAATTTTCTTTTTACATGAATGATATCTGATGAAAATGTTGATAAACCTAGGGGTTTTGTTTCCCCCCCACCTTGGATTTCCTGTCCAGGATAATATTGTATTTATAGGAACAATAGCATCAAACCATTAATGTCAATTCCTTTTTGTTACTCCTACAAACCAGTAAGGAATCTGAATATATTAAAAGTGAAAAACATTATAAAAGTAAGAGCAGTGCATCTTTTTTTGGGTAAAAATTGTATATTCCTTCAGGTGACACTGTGTGTGACTAACAGTTTGGGTTACCCGTCCTTAGCCTTTGTTTTAGGGATTAGGGATGGGTGAATGTGAGATCTCTGTGGTCTGAAATGTGTCTTGGGAACTGTTTATGTGGTGGGGAGAAAAAAGTGAAGAGAATATGGGCTAGTAGTTGAGACCAGGTGGACGCATTTGAACTCAGACTGAGGAGTAGTGGGTTCTTTCCTCAGCTTTGCCATTGACTCGCTGTGTGGCTTTGGGTAAGTCACTTACACTTTCTGTGCCATCCTTTTTCATTTGTAAGGCAAAACCAAACTCAAACCAAACCTTCAAAAAAGTGAAGAAGGCTATCTTCCTTGCAGAATAAGACAAGAGAAGATCTGACCATTTGCATCTACCTTTTGTGCCCATGCATCCTCTCTGATCTGCTGTGACAGGTCTCATAGAAAAAGTCCTCCATAACCTTGCTTCTCTCCTCTACCTGCACCATCATTTGTGGTGACTGGAAGCTCACTCCCCTGCCTTCAGGTTGTAACACTGGAGCCCTGGAGACAGTGGGCCGAGCCAAAACCTCCAGTCAAGAGTGCTTTATACATCAGTATGGGGGTCCCAAACCACCTGTCTCTGGGAATATTCTTGTAGGACACATTTGATTTTTCAGAGATGGCAATAGTATAAGGAAATAACCCAACAGAGGGGACGAGATACCTGAGAGATGATTTTAGCATAAGAAATAAGAGGGTAGGGAAGGGTTGTCGAATCTTATGTAAGTAGGGCGAAGAAACGGAGCCAACTTGATTATTCCAAGACTGACTTTATCTCAATCTTCTTTTTCTTCTCCTACTTGCCTGCCTTTGACTTTTTTTTTTTTTTTTGATCGTCTCATGAACACATTCACTCTGTTGTGGCAGAGAAAGGGAAGGAGGCAAAGCTCAAATCACGTTTATTACCATCTCTGGTAAAGGTTTCAGTGAGGGTGAAACAAGGGTTTGTCGTTAATATCACTTATTTTAATGCATATTCTAGCTAATTCTTTCTCTCATAACAGATCACCAGAAATTGTCCACAAAGGGGCATAATTTTAGCCAAATTTTAAATATACTGAATCACTGATGGCTCATGTAGAATTTGCCTCAGGATTTTGATAGTGTTTGGAAATGAATGCTTCTCATCCATGAACAAGTGGTTTAAAAAGAAAAAAAAAAACCCTGTGAGAATGAAAATTGCAAATTTGGATGATTATTAAATAGTTAAACTTTTTTGAACCTCAGAAAAAGGTCCAGTTTGGTTTGAGTTTTTGGAGGGAAGGTGCAGGTCAGTTTTTACTTGGTTCCAACTTGTTGACCTGTCTCCATTAGGTGCGAAATTCAGAGACGTGTAAGACCTGATTCAGAATGTCCACGAAGTCAATGGAGTTTTGCTCAGAATCACAGAATCGGGCCCATTGTGCACCTCTCCCATTACAGCATGAGCTTGTTGCTTGCGCAGCATAATTTAGGTTTAGTTTGCAAGATATACATGCTTTCTCTCATGTCTGTGGTCGTACGAAGATGAAAATGTGTTTCTTTGTTTTTGTTTTTGTTTTTGTTTTTGTTTCTGAAATTCAGCATCAAACGCAGCAACTGCTATATGGTGTGTGCGGGTGAGAGCATGAGCCCCGGGCAAGGACGCAACAACAATGGCCTGGAGATCGGGTGTGTGGTGGACGCCGCCAGTGGGCTGCTCACATTCACCGCCAACGGCAAGGAGCTGGGCACGTACTACCAGGTCTGTGGGCAGAGATGGTGGCGTGCTTCCAGAAAGAAAGCCTTTTCTCCCCATGAGAGGAAAAACACACTTTAGACCAAAAAGTACATCAGAAATTAGAAGAAAATTTATTTATGGGGCGCCTGGGTGGCTCAGTCGGTTAAGCCTCGACTCTTGATTTTGGCTCAGGTCATGATCTCAAGGTCATGGAGTTGAGCCCTGGGTCAGGCTCCCTGCTCAGCAGGGAGTTGGCTTAGGATTCTCTCTCTCCCTCTGCCCCTCCCGCTTGCATGCGATCCCTCTCCCTCTCTGTCTCTCTCTCAAATAAATTAAAATCTTAAAAAAAAAAGAAATTAGAATAAAATGAAAACAGAGATGAGTTTATTTCTGCCCTTTTCATCTCTGTTTGAATAATAACAGTGCCTTTCAGAGGAAACAGTACATTCCTCCGGAAATGTTCATATGATAATGCCGTTAAATAATCCAAATCATTATTGAAAGGGGGTATCTGTCTGAGAGAATGCAAGTGTCCAGTCCCCTTCTGTAAAGTGTCCCTTAGTCGTTATAAAGAAAATATTTTTTCTTTGTGTTCCTTCATTGCTAATCTTACCAAATTCATTTGTTTGTTTAAGGTGGAGCCAAGTACAAAATTATTTCCTGCAGTGTTTGCACAAGCTACAAGTCCCAATGTTTTCCAGTTTGAGTTGGGAAGAATAAAGGTGAGAAAGACTCATTGCTGATATTATATTTGGGGTCTTTCTATTAGGGAATAGCAGTTATTTCTTTAAATAAATTCAGTATTTTTTTTTTTAGTACTGATATCAGTTACATAAATGATCCTTTAAAAGAAAGGTAAGCCATGCTTGAAAGTTCTGTAATCTCCTTCAGGTCACTGGGGCAACGAAATTAATTAGAAAGGGTTTCTGCAACAATTTAAAGTACTTATTAATTCATTAAAATAGTTAAGAACAAAAAAGGGCTTCTCTGTGGTCATCATAAATATATTATTCAAGAAAACTAGGCTTATATGGAACAAAAATACCAAATAAAATACCATTTGATAATCATTGAACTCACAGGTGAGCTAGTAAATGGGCTTAAAGACACAAAACTGGTACATACTGGTAAGTGCTAGAATAGTGCAGGTGTAGAGTACTGTGGGAACAAGTGGAAGAACAAAGAAGCTGGAGGTTGGACCGGGTGGACCAGGTAAAGCTAAAGGAAGAGGGGACATGTAGGTTGATTCTTTTTTTTTTCTCTTTAATTTTTTATTGTTATGTTAATCACCATACATTAAATCA